AGGGGATGTGGGCTGGGGGTGACGGTGCTCGAGACATTAAAGTTTCGGTCCCGGCCAGGTCTGGGGAGGCCACCACTGCCGGAGTGACCCCCACCCCGATCGAGCCGGCTCGGTCGGAGCAGGCAGGGCGCCCGGCGGCCCCGCGCTCCCTCCCAGAGGCCCGCGTCCCCGGGGTCTGACCTGGTCGAAGTAAATGATGCGCGTCTTGTTGCTCATCTCGGACGGCTCGTGGTTGGTACTCCGCACGGCCGAGAAGGCGACCTTGGAGTTGGCCGCTCGCACCGAGATCCCCAGCGGGGAGGAAGAGGAGCCCTTGGAGTCCGCGGCCGGGTTCGAGTCGCACACCACCAGACACTTGCCCTCCAGCACGATGGGCTCCGTGTCGTTCTGCGCCCGGACGGGCCAGCCGGGCCTGGGGGCGGGGCGCGGGGCGGCCAGCACCGCGGACAGCTCCCCCATCGCGGCGCGCAGCCGCAGTGGCTAAGAGCCGTCTTAACCCCTTCTCCGCCGGAGCCGAGCAGACAGTGCGCAGCCGCAGTGCTGCCGCTTCACAGCTGAAGGCCGCGGGCCAGGAGCTCGGTTAACTCTCGGCCTCCTAGCGCCTAACGGGAAGGTGGATACCCGCTGCAGCTGTAGAGGCTGATCAGCGTGGGTACTGGTTTAACGCCTTGCTCTGAGATGGCACAAAAGTAGAAGGGGTATGAGAGCATGGTGGAGTCCCTGCAAGAAGGAAAGGAGAGGTTAGGATACCGGGAGGGGGTGGGGTGGAGGGGTGGACCCTTCACTTCACTTTGGCCACAGCTCCCAACTCTCGAGTGATCTCACTTGGAGGCTAGAGAGTGCTTGGGATGCTACCGGCACGGAAAAAAATAAAGTATGGAGTAAATGAGTGACACCCCCCCATGGCTGTCCCGGACCCCAAGCTGCACCCCAGCATCCTTCAAAGTGGTCAGAAGGGGGAAGGGCATCCCAGGTCATGGGAGAAGGGGGCTGCAGAGGCCTGGGGGACACTTCCGACCAAATCTCTTCCGCAACTCCTCCCTCCCACCTCCCCCCCACTCAACCCCAAATCTCGCCAACTCAGCGCTTCTCAGGGACCAAACTTTATGCGGTGCCTCCGGGCCCCCCTCCCCCTCTCTCCCTCCCCCGGCGCAAATGCGGCAATGCGGCTCCTCGTCCTTCCCGGCCCAGGACACGGCACGGTGGGGGGAGGGGGCCCGACCAACTCCTCCGGGTGTTTGGGTCCCCAGGAGGCTTGGGGGGGTGGTCTTGGAGATGCTCCTCTTTCTAATTCGAACTTTCTAATTCCTCCTATTTCTAACTGTCTCTTCTGACTCTGGGAGGAAGTTTGGAAGAGGCGATTCAAGGCAGAATCAGTGGGGAGGGTACCTATTGGGTTTGGGAAGTTACAGATGTTTGTGGAAAGTTTGGGGGGAAAAGTGAAGAAAGATTTGGGGGAAAATCTGTGATTTGGAGGGAGACAAGGGGTGGGGGGCTCTCAGCTCTCTTTGCCAGGGAACAGAGGAGCCCAGTCCTGGGCTCTGGACTGGAGGGCTGGGGAGGCGGGAGGGGGGCTCAGAGGGGTGGTGGTGGAAAGCAGGACAGAAAGAATTTTAGGCGCTATTTTAAGAAGGAAGTTTTGGGAATGGATAACATGTGGGGTGTCCCAAAGATAGAGGTTAGGTGAAATTCTGCAGTAGGAGGGAAAGTCTTTTGATCGTGAAAGGGGGCTTGGGAAGCGCTGGAGGGAGGCACTAGAGCTTGGGAGTGGGCTGTGCAGGGTTAAGGATTGGTGGGTAGAGGAAGAAGCAGTGCTGGAAGGCTTGGCACAGGAAAGGCATATTAAGGGAGCTCCGGACTCCCCTGGAGCCTTGAGGAGTGGAAAGGAGGAGCGGGGCAACTCTGCAGCTTTCCGGGAAAGCCTTGGGGCTGGGATTTAGCACAGGGTGCAGCAGGGCAGGAGCACAGAGCCAGCTGGAGGGTCCCACGAGTAACTCCCCCCCGCTTACATTTGCAGTGAAGGGGAGGGGGCAAAGTCGCAGCTAGAGCAAGTGGCTTAGAGGGCCAGAGGGTCCAAGAGGCACGGAGACCGTCAGTGAGGCTGAGGCTGGGATAAATAGGAGAACTCAGAAATAGTCGGGACACTTGGAGAAAGGGAGCGGTGGGGAGGGGGCGGGAGGGAGACTCAGGCCAAGTTAGGGCAGCAGGGGCCAGGAGAGGGACTGCAGGAGGCACTGGGGGTGGGGCGGCTGATTCACCCATCCTGGGGCCCCTAGAGGGTAAGGAAGGAATGTGTTCTGAGGACCTGGGGACTGTCCAAGAAACAGAACTACAGAGGGGTGTTCTGAGAGTTGGCCACGCGGGGTGAAAGTGCTTTAGTAGGGCTCACAAGGCTAGGACCAGGCAAAGGCGCAGGAGGGGACTGGAAAGGGGGGGTCCAGGGTGGCCTAGAGAAGCAGAGTGGGGTTTGGAGGGGTCTGGGGAATTCTCAAGGCTGGAGACACGTCTTCTGAGGACCTGGGGAGTGCCGGGAAGGGGGGTGTGTTCAGAGGAGTATGGGAGACTGCAACCAGGGGCCAGGGGAGGAGTAGAGACTTCTAGGGGACCAGGCTGGGCAGGGTCTGGCCCAAGGGATTCTGAGGGTTGGGGTGAGGACGTTCCTGAGGGCTGGGGAGCGCTTGGGGAGGAGAGGGCAAGGGGGCTCCGAGAGCGCGCTCACCCTGGCGGCCCGCGACGAGTAGGGGTCCTCGAAGAGCGCCCACACGCGGGGCTGCCAGCGGCGCCACCACGTGCCGCCCGCGCCGC